TCCCAGCTAAACGCTGCTAAATAAATTAAATTGAATTTATTTAAGATATGAGGTGTACTGAAAAAGTTAAATGAGACAACCAACATTCTCAGATAACAAATTATGGTCTTTGGTGGAAAAACATTAATTTTAGAGATGTATTATTGTTAGTTGATTTGCACTATTGTTTGCTATTTAAAATGTTGTAAAAGCTTATGTAAACAATTGACTAATGCTGTCATTTGGATGCTTGTCCCCTAAGCCTCCTGTTGAAATTTGATCCCCAGTGTTGGAGGTGGGGCCTAATGGAAGGTGTCTGGATCACGGGGGCAAATCCCTCATGAATGGCTTGGTGCTGTCCTTGCAATTATGAGTTCTCTGTTAGCTCCTGCAACTGCTCATTACAATGAGCCTGGCACCTCCCTGCTTCTCTCTTGCTTCTCCTCTCACCATGGGATATCTGCACAGCCAGCTCCCCTTCACCTGTGGCCATGAGTGGAAGCAGCCTGAGGCTTTCAGCAGATGCCCTATCTTGAACCTTCTAGGCAGCAGAATCACAACCCAGATAAGCCTTTTTTCTTTGTAAATCACTCAGTCTCAGATATTCCTTTACAGCAACACAAACAGACTTAGACAACTAAGTTTAACCACTTTACTTTTAAAATTAAAAAATATTTCTGTAGGTATTAGAACATGGTTTTCCTAGTTTGGAAGAAAACTGCATATGAAATATACAACCAAAGTGAAATTTCAATGAAATATAAGGCAATTAGGACAATGAAAGGAAAATATGTGCATGACAGTGACTAAGTTCACAGTCAAATAATCTCAAAACTAATTTCTACAGAGACTATTTTTTGACCATTACAGATTGAGGTATTAATTGATTGAAGAGAAATTTGAACAAGTTTAACAACAAACTGTCATAATATAATAGTGAATTTCTGTTTTTTAAATAGACCATCATTGAAGATTTTGAAAAAAATAAGTTAAGAAATACTGTATGAATATAACTATGGCTTGAAGAAATAGTAAAAAAAAGAAAAACACATTATGAATGATAGTAATTTATATGATGAAATTAAAATATTTTATATTTTCTGTGATAATCACGTACCATACATGACCCAAACGCAATGTTTAAACACAATATGTAAAACTGAATGCAGTCATCTTTGATAATTTGCTTACTTTCAGTCCCGAAACCCACAGCTTCCCACATATTTTTCTATTTTGTCATTACAAAGGTAGATTTGTCAATGCAGAAGGATGAAATGCATTTTATTCAGCAATGTATGAGCTTGATTTATAATTTTTAAATATATAGACATAGACTATGTGGGCCACTATTCATACTCTTGCCACAGATGCTAGGGACCAATATGAGCCCAGCATCCCAACCACAAATACATTTCAGAACTAGGCTGGTGAGCACTAAGAATAAGGCGTGAGGAAGCCTGATTTAATGACAATAATTCCCCGTCAGGGCTAGGTGACTGGCACGTGCCACACCAAAGGCAAGAAAGGGCGGGCCCAAGAGAGGCCTAGGAATGGTTGATCAAGAAAGGAGGCTGCTGTCCCTGAAGCTGGAATATAGTTCAAAGAGGTGGTTTCAAGGTCAGCAAAGGACAGCTGCAGCTCAAGGGAGATCTGCAGGACCCAGAGGGGCAAACACTACCCTCCTCCTACGGCCAGAGAAGAGGGGCACAGATGTCAAGGCAAAGAATCAGATGCAGAAAATGCCTTGAGGCCCCAAGACAGAGATCAAGCTTGAATCTGACAGGCTTCCCTACAGAGGCCCGGGGAGCAGGTGGCACAGGGGCTGGAAGTGAGGGCCCCAGCAGGAGCAGGCAGGGTCACAGAGGAAGCATGGCTGGTGGAAGGGCCCAGGTGGGTGTGTGCACAGCCAAGGACCTGGGCCAATCCTGGCCAAGGTCAAGAACCCGGATGGGCTGAGTTCAGAGACCCGGACTGTAATTGAGCTGAGGGAAAGAGTAGAGTCCAGTAGAGAAAGGGAATGTTGTTCTTTGTGTGCCAGGAAGCAGCTTCCCTCGACCATGTCTGCACTTCACAGCCACAGGGTGTGGCCTGGGTGGGTAGGAGCAGAGATAGGATGTCTCTGTAGGAGCAGGGATAGGATGTTTCTGGTCCTGCAGGACTGTGGGGGTCTGGGGCAGACTAATTGGTAGCTACCGAGAACAGCTGCAGATGAGTTTTCCCTGAATCCTTGGAGAAAGTGGGTGTCCAGCATCTATCTAGTCAAGCTCCTTTCTTTTCTTTCCGAGAGGAAGGGAGCTCCCTTCTCCAACCAACCTGAACAACCTGGACTCCATTCTCTTCCTTTCTAGATTGAGGACGGATCTTAGGTCAAATTCGTGATGGTTTGAAATAAGTATAAAGACCGAGAGTCCAAAAGGACTGCCAGTGCAAGGCAGTCTGTTCTCTCTCATTCCTCGGGTTCTTCACCTTTAGGTCCTCACCCAAGGTTCCTCCTTCCCTGAGTCAACCCAGAGGGAGGAGAGGATCCCCACACACTGTCACTCTAGACAGAGGCTTATTTCCATCGCGTCTGACCTGCCAGAAGCAATAGACTCTCAGGCTTTTCTTTTTCCCCAGGTCAGACACAAAAGACTAAGTTAGACATTTCCCGAAGGAAACTGACTACTAGGGGAAAAGTCACATCAAAAGCATGATAGTACAAGACTGCAGAGATGGATGTGGCCATAGGGAATTATTTTTTTATTTGGGCAGAATCAAATTCCGCCTCAGGAGATTCAGCTGGCTCTAGTGTGGATGCCAAGTTATTTCTCAAAGACCCAACCTTGTATGGCCCCTGGGGCTGAGCGACTCATTCCACCATAGCAAATGAATTCATGATGTGGGCCCAGGCTGCCTCCTGGCCTTGGGCTGAGATGTTGGTCAGTGCTGCATGGCATGAGCCAGCCTAATTCCCAATGAAGGGGAGGGAATTAATTATTAAGGACCTACCAGTTTGCATTTGGGTTTTCATTTAATCCCTTCAACAAGCAAGACAGCTAATATTTGGCTGGTATGAGATCTTAGTTTGACCCAGTCAGGTTTCAAATAGCTATGGAGGAGACTGAGAAATCTTCTAGGAAAAAGAAACAAATTGACCATGCTCACAATTAGAATGCAGCTTTATTCAAATACATCTAGAGGAACTAGGGCACCAACAGAAGTCCAGACTCAAGAAGGGGCAGGTGATAATGCCCAGTGCTGGTGAGGGACCATTACACGCTTTTGATCAGTGTATAATTTGGTGCAGTGTTGTTTTTTATTTATTTTTTTGTTTGTTTGTTTGTTTTGAGATGGAGTCTTGCTCTGTCACCCGGGCTAGAGTGCAGTGGCGCGATCTCAGTTCACTGCAACCTCCGCCTCCTGGGTTCAAGTGACCCCAGCTTCCCGAGTAGCTAGGATTACAGGTTCCTGCCACCATGCTCAGGTAATTTTTCGTATTTTTAGTAGAGATGGGGTTTTACCATCTTGGCCAGGCTGATCTCGAACTCCTGACCTCATAATCTACCCCCCTCAGCCTCCCAAAGTGCTGGGATTACAGGCGTGAGCCACTGTGCCCAGCCTGGTGCAGCGTTCTTGAAGGCAATTTGCTGTCATTAAACATTTGCACACAGATACTCTTTGACAGCAGTTTCACTGCCAGGAATTTATTCTACAGATTTACAAGTACGCAAACATTTGTGAACAAGAACATTCACTAAAGTATTGTTTATAACAGTAAAATAATGGAAACAAATGCCCATCAGTAGGGGACTAACTGAGTAAAATACTCTGCATCTATTGAAAAAATGAGATGAATCTATATGTGCTAATACAGAACAATATATAAGATAAAAATGAGAAGAGTAAATTGCAGAAGAACCTTGCAATACTATCCCATTTGTAGGTTTTTAAAGAAAACTGACTACATATGGACTTACAGTGGAATAGAAAATATCTGGAAAGACACACAAATGAATATTGTGTATATTTATAATTGCATATATAATAGTGGCTATCACTAGGTGACTCTTACTTTCTTTTTAATTGTTTTTTGAGACAGGGTCTCCTCCGTCTCCAAGGCTGGAGTGCAGTGGCTCCATCATGGCTCACTGCAGCCTTGACCTCCTGGGCTCAAGCAAGCCTTTCACTTCAGTCTCCGAGTAGCTAGGACCATGCTCGGCTACTTTTTGTATTTTTTGTAGAGACAGGGTTTTGCCATGTTGCCCTGGCTAGTACTTCCTATCTTACATTTTTCTTTACTGCTTTGAATTTACTTTTATGAACCTATATTACTTTTAAAATAGAAAAGAAAAAAGTTAAAGAAGGAATTAGGGACCAAAAAGAGGTAATTCGTCAAGTAAAAAAGGAATTTACCAAATGTATCCTTAGAAGTCAAACTCAGCAACAGGACCTAAAGGCAGGTAAGCCATGGTAGCTGATTGATGGACCCTTCCTGACCAGCTGACATGGCCAGATGAAGAGGGTTTGCTCTCACTCATCAAGCTCGACTTCCTTGAGACCCAAGCGGTCTTGCTGTGGGGCCCCAATAATGTGGCTGAGGAGAGTGGTGCCCTTTCCCATTAGCAGCAGACTGTGGAGTTGTCAAAGAACAGAAGGGTAAGCACTGGTAGCTGGAGCCCCTGGCAGAGACTGGCACTCATGGAAGAGTCTGGAGGCAGCAGGCATTGGATCTCCAGCAGGCTGGATCTCCAGCTTACTTACCACCAAGTCTTGGTACACTGGAAGTGATGGCAGAACTGCAAGTATCCAGCAACAGCAGAAGGAGGCAGACATCAGAACTGGGCTAGGAATGTACGGTGGGGGTGGGTAAGACAAGCTTGGAGAATCTCAGAAACACTTGAGGAAAAGCTATCAGAGACTGGAATGTCTGAGTGAGTACTTAAGCAATTCAAATTAATGATATTCAAGTTTCACTCACTCATCTGATACACTGAGCTCTTATTATATGCAAGGCACAGTACCAACCACAGGAGATACAGCAGTGAGCAAGGTAAACACGGAATTTATTAAGTTGAACTGGGTGGAAATAAAATTTCCAATATTCAACTTTTGGGGACTTACAAAAATGGTAATTTCTTATGGGTCAGCATGAATACATTCTGGCAAGAGAGAAAGAAAATAACAACGCATGACCCAATTAATTGCTTGATTACAATTATGAAAAGAGCTATCAAAGAGCAATCCGATCTGATTCAGTCGTGTGTGTGTGTGTGTGTTGCCAGCCAAGAAAGGCTTTCCTATAAGGAGTTACTTTAGAGGAAGTGAGGGTGAAGAAGAACTAACTTAGTGAAAGAGAGTAACAGAGATCATCCCTGGCCAAGTCAGGTGCAAAGGGCGTGAAGGGTAGGAGACTGGCATTTTCCCGAGCCTGAGAAGGTGGTGACTGCCTGCAGGGAGACGCAGGGGTGGTGGGATAAGGTCTGGAGAGAAGGGGGAGTCGAATCAGACAGGGCCTTGTAGGCCATGATAAGGACTTTGGCTTTTATCCCAAGAGGTTTAAAAAAACACAATGGTATATTATTTGTATCCAAAAGCTGGCAACATCCAGGGAACATTCAGGTTACAAAAAAATGTTCCATGCCCTTGGTACAGATGAGCCCGGAGGTTCACAGCTACAGGGGTAGTATGTGGTTGCGTCAGGATCAGAATCTAGGTCTTTCCAAAGAGCTTTCTCCACCCTGGATGCCACTGGGAGGGTGGCAGGGGGGTGAGACAGGCGGGGAGGCCAGGAGACTCTCTAGGAGGAGGCCAAGGAGGCCCCGTGCGCCGGGCGGCAGCTCAGTGCCCAGCAGCAGTCCTGGCGGAAGCGGCGCACGAAGAAACATCAGATGAGTGGGTCCAGGCAGCTGTTGAGGCTCAGCAGCGCCAGGCTGAGGGTGTGCAGGATTGTCAAGCGTGGAGGCGGCGCGACACCGGTCTCCGTCGCTGTCCCGCCCGGCCACCCTGGGCGCCAGCAGCAGGTGGTAGGGCGCCAGACTGAGGGCGAAGACCAGCAGGAGCCCCAGGACCATGGTCTTGGCCGCGCGCGGGTGCGCGCCGGCGCTAGCAGGGCCCGGGCCCGAGGGCGCCTGGAGCGCCCGCGCCAGGCTCACGTAGGCCGGGAGCACCAGCAGGAAGGCGGCCGCGAAGAAGGCCACCGTGACGGAGGCCAGCCCCGAGCTTGCCCAGCGGTGCTCCTGGCAGGGAGGGGCCAGGCCCGCCAACCAGGCGAAGGCGCAGGCAGTACGCGCGGGGCGCCGGCGGCGCAGGCCAGGCAGGCAGCCGCCCCGGGCCCGGGGCCGCGTACGGAGCAACAGCGGCACACGCTGATGAGCGCGGCGAAGACCACCGCGTAGGTGGACACGTAGTCGCGGCCCCAGCCGCGCGGCAGGCGGCCTCCGGGCCAGGCCCAGGTAGTAGATGAGCCACGGCTGCAGCGTGAGCGTGAAGAGCTCATCAGCCAGAGCCAGGTTGAACAGGTAGAGAAGCAGGGCCTGGCCCAGGCGCCCGCCGCTGCGGATGAACACTGCCAGGGCAGCCACGTTGGCTGGCAGCCCCAGGCCCAGCGCCAAGGCATAGGCCGCGGGCACCACGATGAAACGAGCAGGGTCATCCCAGAGGCTGCAGCCGCCAACACCCAGGTCCCCAACACTGCTGTTCATCTCTGACCTTGATGTGGCAGAGGAAAGGTTAATGCGGCGGCTAGCCACAAAGGCAACCCCCATTCCACCTTCTCCCACCCCAATCTCCTCTTCTTCAGCCCTTGCGGGGAGGGGGCACTAGAGGCAGAGTCCATGTGAGAGGGAATGAGGACCGAACCTGGCCAGCAGCTGCTGAGAGGGGATGGACTCCGGAGTTTTTGGTGACAAGCTGTGGGAAGCGAGGAAGAGGCAGGAGTCCTAGATAACTTGGAAATTTCCAACCTTGGTGACTGAGAGGGTAGAGGTGCCCCTCACAGACAGAGTATGGTTCATACCTGTTGGGGCACAGACCTGTGCGGTAAACCCACATAGGGCTGAGCCAACAGGGAGTTCTGGAGAAACAGGTTGAAACATAGAGGCCTGTCCAGAAAAAGACCCAACTCCCTCGTCCCTGTGCCACCCAGATGAGAAGCATGGATGGAGGAATGGGCTTGTGGTGCAGTGACCCACAGGATAGGCCTATGCACAGTGACCTCGGACTTGCCTTGGTGAAGGTCCTCTCCCAGGGAGGTACCTCAGCACTTGCCTGGAGCACCCTTGGCTGGGCTGAAAAGCTTTTGCCACTCTGAAGCCTTCCATCCTTTTTCCTCCCCCCTCACTTTTTGACCACAAAGTCGTCCTGGGTCAGACTCAGACCTCTGGACAGAAAAGCAAAAAGTGCACAGGCCCAGCAATCAGGCAGATTCTAGATATACACATCAATTTGCCATGTGACCTTGGGCAAATTACTCAGCTTCACTGAGCCTGTCTTTGCTGCAGTAAAATGGAGATTAAAATACCTACCTCACAGGGTTGTTGGGAGGATTATGAGAAAACATAAGTAAAACTGAGCCCTGTGGCTGACACTGGGGAGATACTTCATTACTGTTAGCTCCCTTCCCTTCTAGGCAGCACATAGATAAATGTGTACACTCACACAGGCACACACAGAGTGTCAGAGACATAGACACCCCAGGCACACAAAACAACACAAACACATCTGGGCATATTCCTATCCTCTTCCCAAGGGAGGTAAGTGCACAAATCAATGTCCTGTTACTATTTGTGACACACTTACACACTCCTAGGATGTCCTAAAACTCAGTTCTTCCAAAATCTGGATTTTTGCCTTTGAGCATCTCAGGCTCCAATCCTTTCTGAGACCCCGGGTAACTGTATTTCCTTTCCCCACTTCCTCTGTTCTGTTCTCCATGCCTGTAGCCCTACCCTGACCCATCCCCTGCCATCCTACCAGATTGTTCCTTTCTTACCTCTTGCTATAATGGCTGCTGGAGTTCTCTCTGGGGTCCTGACTTTAAGGATCTGACACAGGGCAGAATCCCCTCCCACCCACACATCTCAGACCCTCCCATCAGCCAGCTAATCCCAAGAAACGACATGAAGAATGGGTCTGACAGCTGGAAGGGCTGGAGCCCACCTGTGGCACCTGTGAGCTGGGTTTCTGGGGCTGCAATCAGGGCCCCAAGGGAAGGGAGTGTCATCGGAGGACAAGAGAGCCTTCAGCACAGGGAGGGAGATACAAATGCATTAGGAAGGGCAGGCAGCTGAACATCATCGTGCTGAGATGACCTAGATTTAAGGCTGTAGTTTGGGGGGCACATTTCCTGAGGCCCGGCTTCTCCCTGGGCTGCTAAGGAGGCACCGCTTGGGCTCAAGATCCTCCTGCTGCTGTCAGTCCCAACTGCTGGTACACACCAGCTGCCCAGCCTACTCCTCTAGCACCCTGACTTTCCTGCAGCTGCTGGGCAGTCCTACAGCCAAGCTTGGGGGCCCCAGTAGCTGCTTATCAGCCTACAGATCCAGACTTGGTAAACAGGAGCCCTCAATCTAATGCTAGCTGCAAGAGGTTTTACTCAAAGTCCGTCCTGGCAGGAGACGGGCTGGCAGTGGCATCCTGGAAGGGGTGGAGAAAGTATAAGGCCAGGATCCTTGGGGCTCCAGGCTTTACTTTCTTGGGCTTCAAAATTTCCAAGCAAGATGGGCACAGTGGCTAACGCCTATAACCCCAGCACTTTGGGAGGCCAAGGCGGGCAGATCACCTGAGGTCAGGAGTTCGAGATCAGCCTGGCCAACATGGTGAAACCCCATCTCAAAAAATAATAATAATATAAAAAAATATAAAAAATTCCAATCAGAGGGGAAATGCTGGAAAGCAGGACAGATTTCATCACACCAGACAGGTCATCCCATCTACCCTCAGATTGAAGACAGCAGGGGTGCCATGCCTATCCATTTTCAGCTTTGGCAGCTGGTGCAGTGAAAAGTTTGGGTTCTGGAATCAATTAGGCCTTAGTTCTAGTTCCAGGTCTCATATATAGGCACTTAAGCTTTCCAGATGCATTTTCTCAACTGTAAAACAAATCAATATTTAATAATGGCTAGCATTTACTCAACATTTACTATGTGCCGGGCTATGAAATAGTTACTATCATTATTCATAGTCTTCAAATAAGCTAGTAAGTGACAGAAACCATTGTCTACTTCCTCTTCTTCCTTGCTGACCAGTGTGGGTAAATCTTAACTAGTCTAAGTCCATTATGGGAATTCCATTCTCCTGCCAGTGATTAGGAATGGAAATGGGACATAGTTCTGCCTAGTGAAATCTACGGGAAAATCTAGGGTCTTCTAAAGCACCCTTCCTCTCTTTTCACCTTTCAGTATTATAGCAAATGCACTATCTGGAGCTGCTGCAGCTATTTCGCAACTCTGAGGGCAACAGCCAATACACTGACAGCAGCAGAGCAGAAAGTTTAAAGAATGTTGATTCTTGATGCCATCATTAGGCAAATTAACCAACATTGAAACTGAAGTGGTTATCTCTGAACCTCTTACATGAGAGAAAAGGTTTCCTTATTGTTTTGACATTACCATTTATTTAGCGTAATCTATCTATCCTTACTATAGGCAGACTGCACCACCATGCTTTCGGACTCAAGAATAAAAAAAATCCAACTGAGAGCGTCACCTTGCCTGAGGTTCACTAGTCAGAATGGGAATTAGCATTTTGTAGTGAACATGAAATGGAGTAATAGAGACTTCTTTTACACCCTCAAAGCAATCTGTAGGCTGATAGCTAGAATATTTGCATAAGTGAACTGTTTCTCACTATGATCCTTCATGGGAGGTACATCACTTCCCAAAAGCCCACAGCCCTGCCTAGCTAAGATAAAGATGGTGGTGACATAATAGCAGATGCCCTAACGTGTTGTCCACTTTTCCCCCAAGAACTGTCACACATATGCACCCTTCCTACCCCCAAGGACCTCTGGGATTCCTCCCAGGCTTTGGGCCCTGCTGTACCACTCAGCATTTCACGGAGTTGGCTGTCCCTCACCTCCATGTAGGTGTCAAGGAACACTGGACTGGGTGCCACACATCACCACCAGAGCTTGATTTCAGGTCCTGTCAAATGACTCAATGCCAACCTGCTAGCTCTGCAAATCTAATATGTCAGAGAAAAAAAGGAGTGGGAGGGAATTTCTAATGTGGCTCAAAGGGCATAGGCAGAAGCAAGTACTTAAAGTTCTGCCATACAGAACCTGTACATTTTAAATATGCATTAAAAGCCTTAAAAATATGCATGTGTTTTGAACCAGCACCCTTACTTCTAGGGGAAGAAAATAAGTATGCAAAAGAGATTTACTGTGAGGCTTACAATAGCAAAAAATTGAGAAAAACCCAAATGTTCCTCATGGGGGGTGAAATACATTATAGTACATCCTTACAATGGAATACTATGCAGCCATTAACAGCAATGAGGCAAAAGAGACATGAAACAGTGTTATAGTTTTAAGGTTTTAAAAGGAGGTCGAATAAAATAGGATATATGGTTTTATTTTCATTTTTAAAAATATGTATCTGCTTAAAGGCACAGAAAAAAGTTCAGAGGTATACTAACACCAAGGCATTAAAAGTGGTTATTTGGGGCATCAGAATTTTGGTTGATTTAAATTTCTTTTCTGCTTATTTTGTATTTTCGTATGACATGAGGAATGTTAATATGCATAACATGTACTCCTCACAAAAGAGTAGTAAAGCTAAAAAGAGAAAGTAGGGCCAGGTAGGCAAAATGTCTCTTTCAACACTGGCTGACCCTGGATATTATAATGGTAACAAGATGACAGACTCTGTGTTCTACCATATTCCTGCTGTGAGAGCTGCACGGCATAAACAGGCAGAGATGCTCTACTTCCAGGATTCCTTGAATGTACTTAGAGTCTTCTTCCTAGTGGGTCTGACCACCTTCTTAGTCTGGGCTAAGAGCTGGCCGACATTCAGCAGCAGCAGGAACCCCAGGCAGACGATGGCCGGGATACAGGTGCTTAGTGACTCTTTTAGAGCTGCCAAGGTGAAGATAGCCCCTGGAATGGAAAGTGAGGTCCCTGAGGCTCCTTGGGAGAACCCAGGAGATCCAGGAGCTCAGGGCTCTCCAGTTTAGGCTGATCCACTCCAGCCCAAGCCCTCCCATTAAACACCCTCACCACTCCCAACGTGCATTACCAAAACTAACTGCATTCATCTCTAGCCTCCTGGAGAAAGCAGGACCAGGAAATTAGAAGCCTCTTGAACAATAGCAGTGGCAACAGTTGCCCCTCTTGGAGGACAAGAAAGAAACAGAAATGACCCAGCAAAATAGGGCAGTGGCTAGAGTGGATAGATTTTAGGAAAAAAATCTCCCTGATCCTTCTTTCTTTCCTCTTTTTTTCTTTCTTTTCTCTTTCTTTCTTTTCTTTCTCTCTCTCTTTCTTTCTTTTTTAAGGCAGAGTTTTGCTCTGTCACCCAGGCTGGAGTGCAATACCATGATCTCCTGCCAGCCTCCTGAGTAGCTGGGCTACTGGGTTCTGGGTACTGGCTTCAAGTGATTCTCCTGCCTCAGCCTCTTGAGTAGCTGGGATTACAGGCGCCCGCCACCACGCCCGGCTAATGCTTGTTTAGTAGGGACGGGGGTTTCACCATGTTGGTCAGGCTGGTCTCGAACTCCTGACCTTGTGATCCGCCCACCTCGGCCTCCCAAAGTGCTGGAATTACAGGCGTGAGCAACCGTGTCTGGCTCCTTCTCCTTTCTTAATCCTACATCTACTAAGATTAAGATGAAGGGAAGGACTAGCCCAGCGGCTGCTGGTTGGAGGTATGGGAAAGATCTGAAAATGAGAGAAGCTCCAGAGATGGAAGCAAGCCTGGTAGTGGTGGCAGCAATGGTAACAGATGCCAGGGCATACAGAAGAGCCTGAAGATATCTGGGCTTTGAAGCAACAGCTGTCTTTGTACATCAGCAGTTCCTGTGGGCAGAGCTACTGGTGGGGTGGGGGGGACTCCCTCGGGAAATTCTGTGCCTTCCTGTTCAAGGTTCTCCAGCTTCCCTGCTCTCTACACCAATCTGCCAGACACATACATCAAATGGCAGCTGCTCCTCCATCCCCTCATCCCAGAAGTGGGTGTGTGGAGGAAGGAGCAGAGGCACTGAGCTTGCAATACATCTTCACAAGGGAATACCATGCAGCCATTAGAATTGAGGAGGCAGAAGGTACACTTAACATGTGATAATGTTCTAGCATATTAAGTTTAAAAAGTACCTGTGCTAGTTTGAAGACCATGGAAACTGTGGTAGAGCAGGAAGTGCTCTTGATCCCAGAGAAAAAAGAAGGGTGGCAACAGTAAGGGGCAACAGCCAGGTCTTTCCATCATCCTCCCCCAGAAAACCCCATTTTCTCAGGCCAGTTGGCCCCCTTACCCATCATGAGCAGAATCAAGAACAAGTTACTGATCTCTTGCAGCATCGGTGGGCCCGTGGCCAGCAGCAGCCCAGCCAGCAGTTCCAGAAAGCCCACAGCTATTTGGTAGTTCAGGGGATCTGGCTGGTAGCCAAATACCTTCAGCGGGAACACCTCAGCAAACTGCACGAACAGGGCGTTCTAGGGGTGGCAAGGAATGCCTGTCAGCCTCATGCTCACCAAGGCTGAGCTCCCCAGATGCTCCATGGCATATATATGCCTGTGCCCTCAACTCCCCAGAGAAAAGAACTACTACTGTAGGTCAGGTCCAGGCCTGAGGTCAGCCTGGAGGGGAGAGGGCTGCCCTGTGGCGCTGAGCTTTGGAATCAGGAAACAGGCTCCATGTTCCAAGTGGTACAGAGATAGATTTTCTCACTAGACCTCTCGAGAGATTACAACCCAGGCCAAATCCCAGGAGGAGGGGGCTGGGCTTGGCTCCCTAGTGCCAAGGCCCGGGGAATGTCACAGTTTGCTTCTTTGTGCCTGGCCTGGTTTCTCTTAAGGCTGCTGTACAGGGAATATTTGGAGGTGGGGAGGAGTTAGGTGGGCTCAAAGTGACTCTTCTTGTCAAGGCAGGTCCACCCCTGAGCCAAATGGCAACTTCACCCTTACTTTCGGGGTTACTTTTTCCTGTTCCCACTCCTCAGCTCTACCTCCCCTCCTCAGCTCTGCTGGGCAGCAGCTCTAAGCTATCGTCTCTGGGGATGTATCCAGGCCTTGGAGAGAGATGCCAGCAGGGGTCTACAAGTCTAGCTCTTTTGAGGGACTGGGGAGATTGGTGAACAGGAAATGAAAGCTTTCCCGTGAGTCTGGAACTAGACAGAAGGCTGAAAGACGACTTCAGGGCCTCCCTCTCAGGCTTCCAGGAGAGGCTTCCCTTTCTGGGTTCCGAGTCCGGAGTGACTAGTTTGTGTCCTGCTTCCTGACTAGATGTGCAACCTTTAGCAGATATACTCGCCCTTCAGGGCGGGCTTCCTTCCCTGCAAAGCCAGGATTACTACACCCCAACCCCACGAACCTCCCGAAAACTGAAGCAAACGGCGAAAAGGGGGAAGACAGCGCGGAGTGAGCTCATTTTCCCGCTGCATCATCCTCTCCCAGGGTCCGGGGAGTGGGGAGGAGGGTCCTCCTAAGGCTGTAGATTTGCCTGGGGCCACCAATGCTCAGCAGGAAGGGGAGGTTCTGTTCCCTTCCGTCTAGGGAAGATCCAGAGAACTCGAGGAACTCCCCAGGAAGGACGTGCGCCTCAGTCGAAAGCCAGGCGCTTTCCCCCATGTCCAGCTGAGCCTCGGAAGCCCGAAGGCAGCCTGCCGGGCCGGCGGGAGCGGCGGGGCGGAGCACACGCCTCCGCGGGCCCGATCCCCGGCCGCCCGCCCGCGCCGCTCACCATCCGCTCCGAAACTGGAGCCGAGATCTCCTCCGAGAGCTTGGCCAACCCCACGAGCGCGAAGAAGCCGCCCAGCAGTACACGCAGCACCGACAGCAGAAGCTCCATGGCCGCGCTCCCCGCACCGTGGGTTGGCCCCGCCGAAAACCCGCCTCTGCCGCCGGCTCATTTCCTCCCTCCCTGGGGCGGCCGGAAGACTTGCCTGAGTTACCATCCCCCACCCTCCAGGGGGTCGCGAGGCTGCAGCACTGGAGCAGGGCGCCCCCATCCTACAGGTGAGGACCACTGGCTCGTAACTGACTAAACCGACACCTTTGGATTCAGGGAGTGTTTCCCAGCCAGTACGGAGTGCTGGCAGACATGCATGGGTGTCTGGGTGCGGCTCAGCTACCATCAAAAGACCCCGGGGCTTCGTTCCTGCCTGTGCCATAGTATCTGTGGGATCTGAGCTGTCACCCGACCCCAAAGGGTCTCGGTATCTGCATCTGTGTAGGGGGATAACTCAGTTCTCCAGAGTTTGTAACAGGCCTAGCACAGTGCCTGCACATGTAAGAGCTCAGAAAGTTATTTGTAAATTAGTAAATTAATTTATAAAATTATAAGTAATAAATCAAAAACCATTAATTATTAAATAAGTCTCTTTTCTATCTTTGCCTGAGGTGTCTTTTCCCTCTAATTTATCTCAGCTGAGACTGAAATGTGAAAGGTGTTTGAAAATTCAGATACTTGCAGCCATGGATAGAGAGACTTTCACTGAACCAAGCCCTACAGTCCACTCCTGGCCCATTTGCTCTTACCTGGAAATCTGTCTAAAGCTGGGATGGGCAAACCATGGGCCAAATTTGCCCAGCTGTCTGATTTTTTTCCATGCTTCTCCCCTTCCCCCAAGCTAATAATGTTTGTTTACATTTTTATGATAAAAACTTTTTAAGGCCGGGCGCGGTGGCTCAAGCCTGTAATCCCAGCACTTTGGGAGGCCGAGACGGGCGGATCACAAGGTCAGGAGATCGAGACCATCCTGGCTAACACGGTGAAACCCCGTCTCTACTAAAAAAATACAAAAAACTAGCCGGGCAAGGTGGCGGGCGCCTGTAGTCCCAGCTACTCAGGAGGCTGAGGCAGGAGAATGGCGTAAACCCGGGAGGCGGAGCTTGCAGTGAGCTGAGATCCGGCCACTGCACTCCAGCCTGGGTGATAGAGCGAGACTCCGTCTCAAAAAAAAAAAAAAAAAAAAAAAAAAACTTTTTAAAGAAGCTTGTGTGACATAGGAAAATTATATGAAATTCCTATTTCAGTGCTCACGAATAAGTTTTATTTAAACACAGCCACACTCATCTGCATATTGTCTGTGGCTGCTTTTGCACTGCAACTGCAGAATTGAGTAGCTGTGACAGTATGGCCTGCAAAGCTGAAAATATTTACTATCTGGCTCTTTATTTAAAAAGTTTGCTAAGCTCTGGTATATTAGGCCAGAAAGCCCCCAAGCAGGGGTCTCAAACCCCCCTACTGCTTCCATTTACAGTTACCCAAGCTGCTTAGATCTGTCTTTTTCCAGCTGGGCATAGTGGCTCATACTTGTAATCCCAGCACTTTGGGAGGCTGAGGCAGGTGGATCACTTAAGGTCAGGAGTTCGAGACCAGCCTGACCAACATGGTAAAACCCCATCTCTACTAGAAAAATACAACAGACAGGTGTAATGGCACATGCCTTGTAACCCCAGCTACCCAGAAGGCCAAGGCAGAACTGTTTGAACCCAGAAGGCAGAGGTTCCAGTGAGCCGAGATCACGCCATTGCACTCCAGCCTGGGCAACAAGAGCAAAACTCCATCTCAAAAAAAAGAAAAAAAAAAAAAGATCCATCTTTTCCACCTACTCACAACCTTGCTGGGGTAAGTAGCTGGTTGGCTGGAAGACTGAAATGTTCCACTCGCTTCTAAAGGCCAAGCTGTTTCAACATTCAGGTTGTGCTGTTACATTATAAACTGGGCCTCTCATTACCTTCAGTCTTTGTCACTAATCCAAATTTAATGAAATAACTAAATTTTCTACCCTGGATTATAATTATACACAATTACTTATAAAAATCATAATTATTAAATTCCTCAACAAAAAGGGAAAAATTATTAAAACATTTAATCACTGAAAACACAAATCCACATTAGGAAATTATCTTTTAGGATACTTATACAAAACACGAGATTATTGACTTCGCTATTAAGCAATGTGCATATTGCTACTCTTTTTCCTTCATTAATTTTTCTATCCTTGGAATTAAAGATGTGACTGCAAGTCTTAGGGCAGGGCCAGAAACCAACAGATTTCTTTGTTTTGACTCAGTCAAAGCTGAAAAGGCAGCATCACATAAATAAACAGTTGAAAAGGGTAATAAAAATTTCATTGCCCTTTCATGGAGTTCTGGGTAACTTGTCTTTGCATTTATCCAAAACTGAGTTACAGACACTGATTTAAATACTGATTGTAATCCTAAATCTGAAGATAGCTGTGTTAGCTTTTCTTCTTCGAAGTCGGTGAGATTATTATTTTGGTGATTCATAAAAGGGTTAATTATCCACAAATTTCCTGAACGCAAGTCTTGTTCTGGTGGAAAACAGTCACTGAACACTTGAGAAAGTCCTTCCAGGTGCTCAAAAATAATCCTTGTGATCTCTGTCATATTTAAGCCTGATGAATTTGAGAATTCAGAAAATGAAGGGAACATGTCATAGTCATTCTCTTGTGTGCGCTTCAACCACATTTTTAACTTTCTCTTAAATACATCAATTTTATTACACAAATTGAAGAAAGTAGTCAAAGTTCCTTGGAGACTTAAATTTAATTCATTTATAAGTGAAAATATATCTGATAAGTAGGCCAGCTTTGCAACCCATTCCTCATCATGAAAATACTTGGTCAAATCTGAATGCTTTTGACTTAAAAATATTTCAATCTCATGTCGTAATTCAAATAATCTTTTTAACATTCTCCCTCTTGATATCCAACGTACTTCAGCATGAAGCGGTAAACTCACATGCTCAGATCCCATCTCTTCACACAAAATTGTTAACATACGTGAATTCAATGCATTGCTCTTTATAAAACTTAGAATTTGTGCTGACTGCAAAAGAATTTTATGTAAACATGGAGACAACTTTTCTGCCACTAAACGTTCACGGTGAATAAAACAATGTGTAAATGCCGCTGTATTCATGGCAACTTCTTGAATTTTTGCTTTTAAACCAGAATACCTGCCAGTCATGCTTGCAGCCCCATCGGTACAGAGACCAACACAATGTTTCCAATTCAGAGATTTACTATCAATATATTTATTTATTAGTTCAAATATTTCAAAACCAGTTATTCGAGTAGGCATTTCAATGCAAAATAATAATTCTTCTTTTACATCACGACAATCATAATCAATGAAACGAATATAGCACAAAAGAAGTGTGATATCTGAGATTTCTGATGACTCATCTATCTGCAGGGCAAACCACTTTGACTCTCTGACCTTTTGAATCAGCTGGTCTTCAATGTCTGCAGATAGTTCGTCAATCCTGTGTTGAATTGTAACATTAGAAAGTGGGATAGTTTTCATTTTGTCTCCAGCACTTGAACCCAAAACTTCTGAACACATTTCTACTAAATATGGTTTAATTAATTCTTCAGCAATGGAGAATGGCTTCTTGCTTGCAGCAGTTTGGAAAGCAATTAAATAAGAAGCTTTCACAAGTGACTTTTCAACTAGTAAACACTTTTTTATAGAACTATTTTGACATTCCATTTCTAGAGATTTTTGTTCAAAAAAATCTACTGGTTTGTTTTCTAATTCTGAATGTTTTGTCTTCAAATGATGAGAAAGATTTGCTGGCTTCATGTTTTCACTGGATAAGATCTCTCCACAAATGACACACTGTGGCCTTGGTGAACTTTCTTTTGATCCAGGACAGATAATAAAACCAACTTTTAAATATTCTGTATCGTAAGTCTGGAAAAAACCTAATCTTTTTTTCTTTGAAGGTGGAGAATCAAGTTCTGCATCATTTTTTTCATTAGGCATAGGTAAATCTGAATGAAATATTTGAATCACTGTTATTTTCAAGAACAAATAAGCAATGTTCCTTATGTATCTCCCCACACATTTAAAATTCATATTTTGTTACTATTTCTATTTATCAAAAGAATGCACTGATAAAAGTTTAAGCACAAATCATAATACTTCCAGTGATGCCACTGACAACTGAATTTCTCCTTTGCCCAAAGCTTGATCACTAGCTATAATAAAACTGTAGGATGTGATACATGTACAAGTAATCCCAAGCACCCAATAGGTTATTGAAATGAGGGCGAAGACCACAGTACACATCAAATTAACAATAAACTTTTTGGCTGGGCACGGTGGCTCACACCTATAATCCCAGCACTTTGGGATGCCAAGGTGGGTGGATCACTTGAGCCCTGGTATTAGAGACCAGTCTGGGCAACATGGCAAAACTCCATCTCTAAAAAAAAAAAAAAAAATTGGCTGGGGGCAGTGGCACACGCCTATACTTGGGTAGCTAAAGCAAGAGGATCACCTGAGCCCAGGAGGTTGAGGCCGCAGGGAGCCAGGATCACGCCACTGCACTCTTGAGACTGTGTCTCAAAAAACAAAAAAAAAAGAATAAATTTTTTATTGGTGAGTGACACTGGTATCAAAAAAATTTTTAAAGAAAAAGAAAAAAAAAGGCAGGCATGGGGCTCACACCTGTAATCCCAGCACTTTGGGAGGCCAAGGTGGGCATATCACCTGAGGTCAGGAGTTCGAGACCAGCAAGGCCAACATGGTGAAACCCCCTCTCTACTAAAAACACAAAATTAGCCAGGCATGGTGGTACGTGCCTATAATCCCAGCCACTTGAGAGGCTGAGACAGGAGAATTGCTTGAACCCGGGAAGCGGAGGGTGCAGTGTGCTGAGATCACGCCATTGCACTCCAGCCTGGGAGACAAGAGCGAAACTCCATCTCAAAAAAAAGAAAGAAAAGGAAGAAAAAGAGAAAGAAAAATAATGTTTTACTTGAAACAATCCAGAAAAAAAAAAATATTTAAAAAAGGTAACATTTCATTAATCTAGATGAAGAGTATACTAGTGTTGACTGTACTGTATACTCAACCTTTCTGAATTTTGATACTCAGTGTCAGTGAGTTGTAGAGAAACGGATCCTCCTGAACACTGCTGGTTGGAGCATACATTGATGTGACTTTTCAGGAGGGCAATTTAGGCAACAGGTATCAAAAGCTTTAAGAATAGATGATAGGCCAGGCACAGTGGCTCATGCTTGTAATCCCAGCACTTTGGGAGGCTGAGGCAGGCGGATCATGAGGTCAGGAGTTTGAGACCAGCGTGGCCAACACAGTGAAACCCGTCTCTACTAAAAATACAAAAAAAATTAGCTGGGCGTGGTCACGGGTGCCTGTAATCCCATCTACTTGGGAGGCTTGAGGCAGGAGAATGGCTTGAACCCGGGAGGTGGGGGCTACAGTGAGCCGAGATCGCACCACTGCACTACAGCCTGGGCGACAGAGATAGACTCTGTCTCAAAAAAAAAAAAATCGATGATAGTCTTTGAATCAATAATTCCACTGATTAGGATTTATCCTAAGGACATAATTAGGCAAGTGGACAAAGATCCATTAACATAGCTTAACCCAACATTGCTTATAATATATCTAAATTTCCAATTTTACGGAGTTGGTTATATTATATACACTGAATTCTATTTTAAGAATCTCATACCCAGGTAACAAATCTGCACATGTACCCCCTGAATAAAATAAAATAAGATAAAATAAAATAAACATAATAAAATAAAAATTGGAAAAAAAGAATATCGATGTATATTTAAATTTACATTGATGTGGAATAATGTTTCCAATGCAATGTCAAATGAAAAAATAATTTTCAATTGTTAGAAAACAATTCAAGATTTATTATTTTAAAAAAGATGGAGTTTCACTCTTGTTGCCCAGGTTGCAGCACAATGGCGCGATCTTGGCTCACAGCAACCTCTGACTCCCAGGTTCAAGCGATTCTCCTGCCTCAGCCTCCTGAGTAGCTGGGATTACAGTCATGTGCCACCACGCCCGGCTAATTTTGTATTTTTAGTAGAGATGGGGTTTCACCATGTTGGTTAGGCTGGTCTCAAACTCCTGACCTCAGGTGATCCGCCCATGTTGGCCTCCCAAAGTGCTGGGACTATATGCATGAGTCACCGCGCCCGACCGACAATTCAATATTTAATCTAGAACTCAAAACGTAAGCACGCACGTGCGCGCACACACACACACATAGATGCCCACAGATCCTTCAGTACTCTCCATGTGTTAATGTTTTTTAATATAAATTCAAGTACAAAGAATATATTGTTTTAATAGGAATATAAATTTCCTGAGGAAGGAAAACAGGATTCTCCTTGACTTCTACCAAAATAAAGGTACCCTACATAAAAACTTACTACTTGTTGACAGACTAAGCTTTTAAATACAGCGTATTCTATGAAGTAAAATTATTATTAAAAACAAAAATCAGGCCGGGGGCAGTGGCTCATGCCTGTAATCCCAGCACTTTGGGAGGTCGAGGCAGGCAGATCACCTGAGGTCAGGAGTTCAAAACCAGCCTGGTCAAAGTGATGAAACCCCGTCTCTACTAAAAATACAAAAATTAGCCAGATGGCTGGGCGCGGTGGCTCAAGCCTGTAATCCCAGCACTTTGGGAGGCCGAGACGGGCAGATCACGAGGTCAGGAGATTGAGAGCATCCTGGCTAACATGGTGAAACCCCGTCTCTACTAAAAAAATACAAAAAACTAGCCGGGCGAGGTAGCGGGCGCCTGTAGTCCCAGCTACTCAGGAGGCTGAGGCAGGAGAATGGCGTGAACCCGGGAGGCGGAGCTTGCAGTGAGCCAAGATTGCGCCACTGCATTCCAGCCTGGGCGACAGAGCAAGACTCCGTCTCAAAAAAAAAAAAAAAAAAAAAAAAATTAGCCAGGTTGGCGGCAGGCACCTGTAATCCCAGCTGCTCAGGAGGCTGAGGCAGGAGAATCACTTGAACCCAGGAGTTATAGGGAGCCAAGATCGTGCTATTACACTCTAGCCTGGGCGACAAGAGTGAAACTCCATCTCAAAAAAAAAAAAAAAAAAAAAAAAAAAATCAATGCTTTAGGCACAGTAGACTATTAAATCAATTGAAAATCTAAGGGTAGTTGGATTAAAAGTAATACTTTACAACTTTTTCAAATATAAGCTCAAACAATTTTCATGGTCACCAATACCTCAGATAAATTAGTTGTACTGTTAGCAACTGACAATTGAATTTGCAGTATTTAAAAAAAAACAGGTTAAATCATTAATGCTTTCAACTAAAACTATATGTTAGTAATTATAATAGCTTGTTATAATAGCTGGTTATTAGTGTTAATAATTATGAAAGCAATAAATTAAGTATTTAAAGTATGTGAGCCAAGAAAAGGAATGTTTTCACATTTAAGAATCTGTCAATTATTTTCTTTCCTTTTTTAAAAAACAGAAACAAACAAGCCAGAAAACAAGCTTTGTACATGGGAACACAAGGATACATACCTGTCTGACATTCTTTGTGCTGTGTATGTGGTTTGCAAGAAGTGGCCTTGGTCTGTGTGACGGGTTTGCATGATATGCCTTTGTTCTTTAAAAGCCTGGAAGGCTGGGAAGATTGGGAAGATGGAAATTTCATGGCATCTGCCTGTGTACTTTCCTAGTTAAAAGCAAATTCAGAAACCGCAGAAAGATTTTTTTTTAGTATCTTATCACTGACTATAATTGCTATCAATTGAAAGTTGATATACATCAGGAGAAATACAATTCCTCTGAAAGAGTGGTTGCAATAAAAAAGTCACCTTGGAAAATACACACAGATTCCTATTTCTCCCAATCAGCATTAGTTTAATTTACTGATTTTAAAAAATATTTATAAACTATAAATATAAAATTTATAAATATATATTTTTAAAATAAGTATGATCAAAACAATGAAAACAATTGTTAATCTTGCTGATTAGGACAATTGGCTACTCAGAAAAATTAGATCCAACCTCAGACCATACACAAAAATACATTCCACATCAATTAAAGATCTCAGAAAAAAAAAAGAAAAAAAAAAACCCAAAACTAAAGTCACTAGAGAACTTTCAAATAACCAGATCACAAAGTATAACCAGATCACAAAGTATTCTTTTCTTTTTTCTTTTTTTTTGAGACAGAGTCTCACTCTGTCACCCAGGCTGGAGTACAGTGGCACAATCTCGGCTCACTGCAACCTTCGCCTCCCAGGTTCAAGCGATTCTTGTGCCTCAGCCTCCTGAGTAGCTGGGACCACAGGTGTGCGCCACCACGCCCAGCTAATTTTTTGTATTTTTAGTAGAGACAGCGTTTCACCATGTTGGCCAGGCTGGTCTTGAACTCCTGACCTCGTGATCCACCCACCTCGGCCTCCCAAAGTGCTAGGATTACAGGCGTGAGCCACCGTGCCCGGCCGGGATCACAAAGTATTCTTAAATAAAACACAAAAGAGTCAATCAAAGTAGAAGGTTGATACATTTGAGTACCTCAAAATTTAAAACTGCTCAGATGATCCAGGATAATCTCCCTATTTTAAGGTTAGCTGATTAGTAACCCTAATGCCATTTGCTACCTTAATTCACCTTTGCCATGTAATGTAATATATTCACAGATTCCGTGGACAAGGACATGGACATCTTTGGAGGGGGCTACTATTCTGCCTATCATAATAAAGCTCTTAAAAAGTAAATTTTTTTAATCAAAAATAAAAACTTCTGTAAACAAAGGTCTTTACAAAACAAAGTTACAGGACAAACAACAGAGAGGAAGAATGTACTTAAAACATGTGTATTCACTCAGTATTTATTTCCTGAATGTTTACTACAAGCCAGGCACTGTTCTAAGCCCTGGAGATACAGCAGAAAACAAGACAAAGTTCTGCTCTTATGAGCCTTACATTCTAGAGGAAGGCACAAACAATAAACAAGTAAAACAAATAATATATAATTCTAGGTAGTGATAAGTGCAATGAAGAAAATAAAGCAGCGTACAGGAATGGAGAGTGATGGCATGGAGGAGGGGCAATTTCAAAGTAAACATCTGAGCAGAGACCTTTTGAATTATTCAAAAGAGTAAGCCATGCAAAGGCCTAAGGTCAGAAGAGTTCAGGCAGGAAGACTATAGGTGCAAAAACCCTGAAGTGGGAGAAAGCTTGGCATGCTTTAGAAACATCAACAAGAACAAGGCTGAAAGACAGTAAGCAGCGGGAGAATGATACATTTGGAGAAGTAGGCAGAAACTAAATTGTATAGGATCTGGAAGGTCTCAGTTAAAAACAAAATTACGATTGTATTTTAAATGTTGATGGGAAGCCATTGGAGGTTATATTTAAATTTACTTTAAACAGAAGTAATACATGAACTCAGTGCAAAATTCAAAAGGTATGGAAGTACTGCGTTGGTGCAAAAATAACTGTCGTTTTTGCAATTAAAGTAATATATACACGAATGACTGCCATCTACCCAGACTCAATCTTGAACACAACCACTGTTCCCAGTTTCTTATACAGTTGTTCCCCCTTATCTGCTGGGAATATGTTCCAAGACCCCCAGTGTTTGCCTGAAACCATGGATCATACCGAACCCTATATACACACACACATATGTATATATGTGTATATATGTATATATGTATACATATATGGATATATACATATATCCATAATATATTCATATATGATATATACATATCCATAATATGTATTATGGATATATGTATATATACATATATATGCATAAGATATATGTATATACTATATATGTATACATATATACATAATATATATGTATATGTATATATATGTATACATATATATACACACAGATATGTATGTGTGTATATATAATTCCAGGTAGTGATAAGTGCTAAGTGTGATATATAGACACACATATATGTATATAGGGTTTAGTATGATCCATGGTTTCAGGCAACCACTTTGTTGCCTGAAATATGTATACAGGGTTGTATATACATATACAATATATGTATATGTATATATGTTGTATATGTACATACACATATACATATATGTATATGCAACATATAGGCAACATATATGTATATATGTTGTATATAGGGTTCTGTATATACACACTATATTTTTATACATATATACCTATGATAGTTTTATTTATAAATTAGGCATAGTAAGAGGTTAACAGTAACTACTAACGAAATAGAAAAATTATAATATACTGTAATAAAAGTTACGTGAATGTACTCTCTCTCAAAATATCTTAATGTGCTGTACTCATCCTTCTTGTGACCTGATAACTGAGATGCCTACTGACTAGTGATGGGTAGTATACACAGTGTGGATATGCTAGACAAAGAGATGATTTACATCCCAGGTAGAATGGCATGATATTTCATCGTGCTACTCAGAATGGCACACAATTTAAAACTTATGAATTATTTCTGGAATTTTCCATTTCATATTTTCAAGCCACAGATAAGCAGTACTACTATATATCCTAGAGATGGTCTATGTAATTAAACAAAGTTGCTTCTGACTACAAAGTGTAGCCTATTATTATCAAGATTCAGAATCTTGCTCGTCACTTAGTAAACTATCTTCGAGGTCCATTTACACAACATTGTATAAATAACAGCTTGCATAGTATTCCATTATTAAATGTACCAAAAGTAATCTGAAGAATCCCTGATGAACATATCTAGGATGTTATAAATCTTTTACTGTTATAAACAATGCTACAATGAGTATGTTTAGACCTAAATTAATTCTACATGTGCTAGTTTATCTACAGAATAAAGTCTTAGAAGTGTTGTTGGTGGGTCCCGAATACATAATGTTAATTCTGATGGTACTGCCACATTGCTCTCCATAGACCTTATATCAAATTATGTGACCATTCTCAACAGATGTGGGCCTTTCCCAGTATCCTAGTCAATAGAGTATTACCAAACATTTTGTTATTTCTCAATACGTGAAAAATTATTTTACTTTAGTGTAGTTAGGTATTTTTCACATGTAAGCATTATTTGTAGTCCCTCTTCTGTGAACTCTCAATTCATATTAATTACCATTTTCCTTTATCTTTTCAAAAAAAATTCTATGCATGTTTAACAGATGTGCCAAAAAAATTCAAAGATTCAAATAATACACAATGAAAAAATAATTTTCCCTTTTAAAATTCTCCCCTAGTGATTCAATTATCCTTAGAGGCAACCACTATTACCCATTTATTAGTTGTCTTCCAGGGATAGTCTACACATATACATAAGTGTGTGTGTGTAGCACAAATGGCACCATGTTACACAATTTTGTGTCTTTTTTCACTTATGATATTTGAGACTCCTCTATGTATGCATATACTGAGCTGCCACATTCTTTTTTAACAACTGTGTAATATTCCATTGTTAGGGATATATACTTTGTTCAGTTTTAACTACAGCCTCAACAAGGCCACTATGTATGCCTGGACAGCAACTCCACATGCCAGGCCATATAAATAGGTGTGAAATTCAAAAAGGGTACATTTCAGACCCTGCCCACGTAGAGCTATTTTTTTCTAATTCACACAATAACTCAAGAGTGAATACACCACGGCCCTGACCACTGGTGAAATAATAGGTTGTTTTCAAGCTTCTGCTACTACAAACAATGCTATGATTAAAATCCTTGTACATGCTCCATTTCATAAATGTACAAAATGTATCTGAAAGATAAATTCCTAAAAATGGAGTTCCTGGGTAAATGGTAGTTAAAATTTTAACAGGTTCTACTAAATTGCCCTCTGCAGCACTTTTATCAATTTACACTTCTACTGGCAATAAGAATACCTTAGCAGCGTTACCCATCATTTTTCTTTGCCAATCTGATTAAACCATAGTTCTAACCAGCATTTCTCTCATTTTGAAGTTAAATATCTTTGCATATGTTACTTTTGCCCACTTTCCTACCTGCATTTAAAATGATTCACAGAAGCTCCTTGGGGATTTTTTGTTTTTGTTTTTGTTTTTTGAGACAGTCTCGCTCTGTCACCCAGACTTAAGTGCAGTGGCGTGATCTCAGCTCACTGCAACCTCTGCATCCCGGGATCAAGCAATTACCACCCGTGCCTTAGCCACCTGAGTGGCTGGGATTACAGGCGTGCGCCAACACACCCAACTAATTTTTGTATTTTTAGTAGAGACAGGGTTTCGCCATGTTGGCCAGGCTGAACTCCTGCCCTGAGGAGATTTGCCCACCTCGGCCTCCCAAAGTGTTGGGATTACAGGCATGAGCCGCCGCACCTGGCCCATAGAAGCTCTTTACTATTTAAAAAAACTAGATTTTTGTAACATGAGTTGTATGTAACCTTTTCATTTTGTCATTTGTCTTTCGATTTTGAAATATGGTTGAATTTCCCCATTGATTCTTTTACGGCTTCTGGGTTTTGTGACATATTTAGAAAGACTTCTACACTGTTAAAATTTTTTCCTATATTTTTCTGACTACATACTTACAATTTCTTAGGTCTTTCTCCATCTGAACTTTATTTTGGTCTAAATTGTGAGGTACAAATCTATATTTTCTTCCATGTGTCTACTCAGTTGTCACAGCATTATTTATTAAATAATCCA